CGTCTCCCGGATCTCCCTCATCCCAGTCACTCCGCCTCCTCGGACCTCCCCTCCGGTGGCTCTGCCTCTGGAAACTGCAGCACAGACCTCACGTCCTCCTCCCATCGTCTCCACAGACTGCGAGGTCCTCGAGGACAGGAGCCACACTGGTCGGCTCGGGAATGTCCAGTTTGTCGCCATGGCCCCACGGGTACCAACCCTCAGCAGGTGCTCACAAAGTAGGTATCCTCCTGGCTGGTGTGGCTCAGTGGGTGAGTGTTGACTCAATGAACCAAGAGGTCACCGGTTCGATTCCCAGTCAGGGCACATGCCCAGTTGTGAGTTCAATCCCCAGGGGGAGGGAGGCATGCAGGAGGCATCCAATCGGTATTTCTCTCTCGGATGTTTCCATCTCTCTATTCCTCTCCCTTCCTCTCTCTCTAAAAAATCAATAAAAACACCTTTTTAAAAAAGCAGTGTCTGGGTGGGACCATTCCCCAGGGACAAAGACGTTATTCTGCGTCTGGTTCTGTTGGCGGATGTGCAGGATTCCGTCCGTGCCGAGGGCAGGCGCGGGGAGTTCACACCGAGAAGGGGCTGGCCGGCTGCATCCTCCCTGTAACGACGCGGGTCACCAGGTCACTGCTTCCCTGTGGACCCGCCGCCGGCTGCGAGGGCAGGGCATGTCAGCGTGCGCCTGCTCTCCCAGGACCTCGGCACTCGCCAGGCACCGCCGTTAGTTAGGCCGTGGCATGCCTGCCACCACCCTGGTGGGAGGTTTGACTGCTCCATTTCACAGGCGAGGAAACTGAGGTACAGAAAGGCCCCGGGACTCAGACCTGGGTCTGTCTGATGCCAGAACCCCACGTCATAATGCCCGTGGGCTCCAATGCTACCGCCTGTCGCCCAGGGGGGCCTGTCGCCCGCTGAGTTCCAGGGGGGCGTGAGGAGGCGCGTGGGGCAGGCACACGTGTACGTGTTTGAGAGCCACGCCTCCAGCCTGGCTTCCTTCTGAGGCTACTGAGGAAGCAGAGAGGCCCCTCTTGTAAGAATCACACGGGAGACGTGAAATCCGCCCTCCACTCCCACTGTTCTCTCCTGCTTCTGCGGGCCCGGCCACGCCCCCTCCGCACACCCACCGACACCAGGCCGGCCAGACACAGAAGCCCACTGGTCCCCACACCGCCAGACGCTCCACGCCCCCTCAGCCCTCGCTTCCCACGGACACACTTACGGGCACACGTGGCTTCACACACGTGCAATCCCCAGGCAGCCCTTTGGCGGGGACAGCCCCACCCTACTCGTCTCAGCCACGACCTGGCAGGGGCTTGGACGTTCAAGCCAAACACCCTCACCTGTGGCCACACGGCCCCCTCCACGCCAGCCCCCCACACCCCCTACCCCAGCGGCCAGAAGTCCCCGGGACCAGTTTCCTGGGTCCTCCGGCCTGCACACGCCCGCCCCTGTCCAGCCCGCCAAGGCCAGGATCTCAGAGGAAAGAAGAAAATCAAGATAGATCGCCCCGGCCCCCGGGGAGAGAACCACATCCTCCAGGTCCTGGGCTGGCGGTTCTGAGATTCCTCTTCCGCTGACCACACGCTCACCGATATTCCCCCGGCACTACTTGCCGGCCACGAGAGTGTAACGCACAGCTATTCCAGGAAGAAAAGGAACTCAGGTGGGGCGCCCGGCCAACAGGTGATTAAGCCCTGAGGTCCCCCTCTGGTCCCAGCAGGAGGGCAGGGTGGGGAGTGGCTTCCGCTGACAGGCGAGCCTCCAGCCAGGGCGGGCGGGCTGGTGCTCTCAGCTCCGGTCCGAGGCCTCTGTCCGGAGATGCCCGATTCCCCGGCCCGCTGCGGCGGAGCAGCCGGGCACCGTGACTTATGAGCCGAGGAAGGAAAGACTGCCAGGAGCTGAGATAAGCAACTTCTGGAGAAACATGGACTGGGAACAGGACTGAGGACCAGAGCTGGAAAAAGTCTCAGCTTGAGAGCTGCTGGCCCTCGACGTCCACCCCGTGGTGCTACCCCCACCCGGCACCCGTGGACACGACAGGGAGCAGTCACGCGGCCGAGGCCCCAGGCCTCCAACTCCGAGGGCTCGAACACAGGCTCCGCTCCGCCCCCCTCTTGGGCACAGAGGGCCAACTCCCCCTCTCTGAGCGGCCGCAGCCGCCACCCAGCTCTGCGGTGCGGAGTCCCGGCACCCCGGGCAGATGGCAAGGGGTGGCTGCAGAAGGTCCTGGAGCCCCAGACCATCGGGCTGAGCACAACTCAAAACAAACAGGCGGCGGTATGGAGGGGAGCTGAGGGGCGTGGACGCCGGACATTCCCTGCAGGGAGGGCTGAAGCTTCCTCGGAAGGGGCTTGCACTTAGGAGAGCCGTGCAGGCAGGGATGGAGGTGCGGGCAGCTCCCTGGGAGGCAGAGAAAGGCGCTGCGGGGCGTGTGCGGGACAGAACTCCCAGCCCCGCGGCCCAAACCGGGACCAATGGCCAAGGAAGCCTTGCCAGGCCAGGCAGGGCCCAGGCGGCAGCCACTGGGCAGGGCGAGGCCCACGGCGTGGAAAAGCCAGCCTGGCGGGGCTGTGTTCCCTTCTACCCCACGGCTGGGCGCTGCGGCCTGGCCACTGAGCGGGCACGCGGCCGCGGGGAGCAGGCTGTGGAAACGGCTGCTGGCCGAGGCAGACACCACGTGAGATGCTCAGCAGGGGCAGGATGAACAGGCGCCCAGGGTAGAGCCTGCTGGCTGTGCAGGCCTGAGGTCAGGCTCTGCCGCCAGTGGCAGGCGAGGCCCCTGCTGGCAGGAGGCGCCCCCCTCAGCTTCCGGACCCGGGACGGCCCTTCCGATGGGAGTGGGCCCACGCCGGGAACTCGTGCCCCACCTGTCGGCCCTCGAGGACCCCTCTGAGGGTGCCCCTCACCCCTTCTCCTTGCCCACGTGTCGGAGGGCATCCCTCAGGCTCTCCAGTCCCCCTGCCATCCGGTCTCAGCCTCCCTCACGGGCCCACACGGCCCGAGCCCACCTGGTGGCTCTGACCCACTTCGCGTTCCTCAGGCCACAGTCTCAAAACTGCTGACGCGGCTGCTCCCCACCCCCACCCTCAGAACCCAGAGCCCAAGGGAATTCTCCGGAGGAAACGCTCGTTTCCAAGCCCCCCTCCCACACAGGTACCCCAGATCTGTCAGCCACAGACACCTCCTGCCCTGCGTGGACCCGGGGCGGCACGCCTGCAGCCGGGCGAGCGCCTCCGCTGGCCCCCGCCACTCCCACAGGACCCCACGCTGGCTGCCGCCACGCTCGCGACTCGGCTGCTGACTCACACCGTCCACAGACGCCCCTTTCCCCCACCAGAGCCTGCACCCTCCCGGCCTCTAATTCCCCAAGACAAGTTCTCGCTCTCCCGGCTGCTTCCTCCCCAGTCACATCCTACGCCTCCATTTCCCACCCGGGCTCTTTACCTGGCGAGAACCCCCGGTCCCTGTGCAGCGTTCGCGGCTGCGAAGGGTTTTCACGTGCGCCGTCCCCTCCCGCCCCTAGGGCCACCCTGTGACACAACCCTGGGAGGTGAAGTCACCTGCTCAAGGTCGCGCCGCCCAGACGGGAAGTCCAGTTTTCTGGCTCCAAGTGCACTCACTGGGCGGTGCCCCAGCTTTAAGGAACCTCAGCAGCACCTCCAAGCGCCCACCTTCGCCAGTGAGCCGCCACCTGCCACCCTAGTGCCCCATACCCTCAACACCACCTTCCTGGGTTCCTCAAGGCCTCCCCCAGACTCAGCCCAAGCGCACCACATTTCTTCTTCTACCCGATTCCACTCCCCCCGGGGACCCACAGAGACCTAAAGATTTCCTCCACACCCCAAGACTTCCCGGGGGGGGGGGCCTGCAAGTTGCCCCTCTGTGAAGTACAACCCGGTGAGACCCTCCCCGGAAGCTTCCCGAAGGCCTGGGGGGACAGGCACGGTGCAGGCACACTCCCAGGGCTACAGACGCATCTTTCACACGTGGCCCCAGCGATGCTCTGGCCCCAAAGGCTTCTGAGCATCAAAGAAGACAGGCAATTCCCAGACACCCTGGACGAACCATCAACCGAGAAGGCTGGGCCAGCGACTATAGACAGATGGGTGCCACGCCCCTCCCCGCCCATGGACACAGGTCACCCCTTGGCCCTGTATGGTTCCCACTGTCCATGGATGGTGATCGCTGCTGAGACCCCCACCTCCCTTCTTCTCCGAAGCTGGATCCAGATTCATGAGCCCAGGGTAATGCCGGGACCTGGACAGGCCTGTCTGGGCCGCTATCGGGGACCTCGTGGTAGACGCATGTCCTGCTGTCTCTCCTTTTTGTCCATTAGAAGGGACACCAGCCTTCACCCAGGCGTCTGCCTTCCCCAGTCCAGTGTCCCCAGCAGGCATGAAGGGGGCTGGTGGCGGAGGCACGTGCCCTTCCCATCCACCTGGGGCTGAGGGCCGCGGACTCTCCCGGCCCAGGACCAGGCAGCCCCCGGCACTGCGCTGTGCCAGGCCCTTTCTCACGGTCGCCAAGCGCTCCTGTCATGCTGGGGACACCCTGCTTCAAGCCCCAGGTGCCATCTCTCCAGACCGTGCCAAGGCCAGAACAATCCACTCCCCAGCAATGCAGCACTTCCTCATCCCCTGGCAGGGGCACCACCGGCGCCTGGAAACCAGTCCAAGTGCTGTGCCCACCACCCGCTGCGCCCAGGGCTGCGCCCGCCCCGCACCGGGCGGCCACCATCGCACAGGGTGGCGGCGAGTCTCCTGACAGCTGTGCCCGAAAAACCACGCTGCCTGTGCCAGACCCACACTGCCCACGCCCGTGCCACGGGTGTCACCATCCCCACGCCGGCGCCAGGGGCTCCGCGGAGCCCACACCTGCCATGGGCGCGCGTGGCAGCCGCGCCTCCGCCCGCGGACCCGTCGGGCCGGCCACCGCGCGCCCCGGGCACTGCGCCTCCGGCCACGCCGCTCGCACCGCGCCCGCGCCCGCGCCCGGGGCCCCCTTACCTCCCGCCCTCCGCAGAGCTCGGCCCGCCGCCGCCGCCACCTCCATCCTGGGCTCCCCGAGGCCCCGATTCACTAACGCCGCTTCCGCAGGGCGCCGGCGCCGGCGCGGAGGCCGCCTCCGCCCCCCGGGGGACACCGCGTCCTTTACGTAAACCCACTCCGCCGCCAGCGGTGACCATGGCGACGACCGCGGGGCGGCAGCGCCCCCTTGTGCCAGGGAGGGGAGCGGCGCCGCGGCCGGAGCCGGTGCAGCCTTCCCCCTGCGCCGCCCTGCGCGTGGGGGCGGTGGGCGCCTGGCTCCCGCCCCGGCCGGGCTCCGTGGGCGGCCGGGAGGGGCAGGACGGGCCGCGCTGCCTGCGGGGAAGGGAGCCGCCTCGGTCCCCCTCCTTCAGACCCCGCGTGACCGGGCTTAGCGTGGGAGAAGCAAAAAAGCAAGTAGGATCGCTGGAGGGCTGGTTCACGAGGGCGGGGTGGGGGGGACGGGACCGGTTCCACCTCCCCGGGTGACTGAGAGCTCCTGGAGGGGATGGAGCAGGCCACTGTGTCCTTCCCACACCCACCCCGCCCCCTGGAACCCAGCAGGGTGCAAGGGGCGCTGGGCCAATTTGGGATTCCTGGTAAATGCAGAAAATGGCCCGTCCTGCTCCTCTCCGCAAGCGCCCATTCATTCCGGCTGCAAGTCACTTACACCTTCCATGAGCACCGCTCGGAGCAGGGAGTGCTGCGTGGGGTCCCCACGTGGGATGTGCTTCCCCCTGGGGGGGAGTGGGGGAGGGGGTGGGCCCACGGACCCGCAGGACCTGAGCCTGCCCTCAAGGAGCTCAGTCCACGGGCAAGACCATCACAAGGCAGGCGCCTGTGGGAGGCGCTGAGGGAGCTTGTGCTGGTAGGAAGGGCGCTTCATCAGCCCACTGACCACCCAGCTGGTGGAGGAGAAATTCCTCAGAGGCAGAAAGGGGAGTCGCCTGTGTCTGCAGGGGAAGTGCTGCGGAATGCTCTCTGGGCCCTGTGGGCACCAAGCTCCCTGCAAACGGGCCCTGTGGGCACCCAGCTCGTGCAAACGGGCCCTGTGGGCACCCAGCTCCGTGCAAACGGGAGCCACCCACCGTGGCGCATGAGCGGCTGAGTGCAAGAGGGACTGGGCCGGGGTCTCAGCCCGAGAGCTCCCTGCACACCCGGTCCAGGCCGCCCTCCTCTCTGTGGGAGAAGCGGTGGGAGCTACTTCTGGAAGCTGTTCTGTGTCACCTGTGGTGATTCCAATGCCAAACTGCCGCTTACATACAGAAAGAAAACGGGGCTGAGGGCCCAGACAAACACTGGGTGGACCCTCAGGGGATTCAAGGCAGCGCTGAGCCCTCCCGCCTGGGGAAGGGCAGGGGTTCCTCGAGGCTTTAAGGACCGACTGTACCGTTAGCAGTTTAGGGACCTTCTTTCTAGATCATTGCAATTAATCAGAATCGAGACTGTCAAACCCAATGTCCCTTGGTCCAAAGGTCTAGATCCCCAGAAGAGAGAACCTTGGCCCTGGCCGGGTAGCTCAGTTGGTTAGAGCATCAGCCAGAAACACCAAGGTTGCAGGTTCAAGGGCACATACAGGAAGCAACCAATGAATGCATAAACAACAAATTGATCTCTCTCTCTCTCTCTCTCTCTCTCTCTCTCTCGTTTTCTCCCTCTCTTTAAAATCAATCAATCAATAAAAGATTTTTTTAAAAAGAATCTTAATGGCCCAGCTTGGGCCGTGGTCAATCAGCTACGGCCAGGGGAGGAGGTGCCATGTAGTACAAACATGGCGGCCTCCTCCTGCAGGAGGGAGGGGAGTTCTCAGAGAAGGAGGAATCACGAGTTGAACAGCCAGTCCAAAAATGGTCTACTCCATTCCTCCCCTTAGCTGCCCCGTACACACAAATTCACAGTACACCCACATCTCACACACACACACACACACACCTCCTTCTATTCAATCAATGTTGTCCTCACCAAACACGTTCTAGGGGTCCCTGTTGACCTTGATGTCATGTTCGAGATCCAGGGCCGAGACCTTCGCGGGGACGTTCATGTCTCCTCCAGTTCTATGGTGATCCCATCTGGGCCTTTCACAACCGAATTAAAGGGTAAGTTAAACCAGCAACGAGGTGGCCTTTGAACTCTCACTGCTCCAAGGGTGGCCGTGGCACCCTCTGGGACCTTGTTGAAAACACAGAACCGAACGGGGCGGTTGATGGGGGCGGAGGGAGGATACGTGGTGACGGAAGGGCGTTGACTTGGGGTGGTGAACACACAATACAACGTGCGGATGATGTATGACACAATTGCACACCTGAAACACATCATTTTATTAACCGATGTCACGCCAATAAATCCAATGAAAATGCCTGAGCACGGCCCTCAGCATTATCATTAAAAAAGGAGAAACAAACAAACAAAAATATGCAGAATCTCAGCAGATGAACAGACCCCCGGGCGATTCGTAGGCTCAGTAAAGTTTGAGAAGCAGTGCTATTCTAAGCATTGGGGGAAAGAAAAAGGGGAAATATGAGAAGTGCTCTTAAACTGTGGTAATTCCTATTTAAAAGGGAAAGGGGAGCGCTGGCCGGCGTGGCTCGGTTGGCTCGGCGTTGTCCCACGCGCCAGGTTCGAGTCCCAGGCTGGATATCTGCCCAGGTTGCAGGCATGATTCCTGGTAGGGGGTGAGCAGGAGGCAGCCATTGAGGTTACACTCTCACATCGATGTTTCTCTCTCTCCCTCCCTCACTCTCCCTCCCTCTCTCTCTAAAAATCAATAAAAAGTATTTTTGAAAGAAAGCACAAAGGGAGGGGCTCATTGTTCCCCTTTAGCAGCGTCAGCGACCAGCAAGGAAACACACGTGGAGGCTGCCCTCTTTGCTGCGCAACTGGTCACGAACTTGTGAAAGGTGTTGCTGACTTCCTTCCTCTGACTCCGTCGTCCATGCTCCCCCGCCTGCGTCTCCCTTGGCCGGGATTCTTCGCCCTGAGGACTGACCTCAGTCTTCACCCTTCAGGGCCTGAGCCATCAGGCATCCGGCTGTAAAGCATCGTAACAGGTGTCCATCTACAGTTCCTCTGGGCGCGATCATGTAGGAGCTACTCCGTGGGGACCCTGGCCCCACCCCTCCTGTGATCTGAGGATCCCCGAGGGCCAGGTGGCCGTCTGTTCCCCATTCAGTGGAATCGTGTGGTGCCTCCTGGTGGACATGTCCCCCCCCCCCCCCCATCAGTTCCAAAACCATCAAACCCAGCTGGCGTTGCCTGACCGGGAAGCAGGCAGCAGGCGCTCTGAGACACTTTGGGAGACACCGCGGGGGTCTGTTGAGAGCACGTGGCACCCACTGTGCTCCGGGGCCATGCTGCCCTTCCCTCGGGGTGCTTCTGACGGGTCCGGCCATGTGTCTTTGGGGACGGCCACCAGCACTGTGAGCAGACCGGAGGCGGAGGACAAGAGTGAGGGCAGCAGAACGGGTGGCGAGCATGGGCTGGTCCTGTTCCCGCTGCCAGGCTACGTTCCCTCAGCCCAGTGCCAAACGCCCACCCTGGCCTCAGTTTCCCTCTGGGTCCCAGTGGGGCTAATAACACAGCCCCTCCTCCCAGGGGGCGGTGTGGATTAACTAATTAATGAGTGTGACAGCGTCCGCTGCCCCACAGGCGCTGATTAACTGCTGAGTGTTGTTATTAGAGCGCCGGAGGGTGAGACAGGCAGTGTCGGCTGGAGGCAGGTCTGCTCCCCTCGCCGCCTCCCCGTCCCCTTCCTCCTCTGCCCCATGCCCTGCAAGCTGAACATCTGGCAAGACGAGCCAAGATGATTCCGGGCGCCCCCAGCGCAGCGCGTAACTTTTGAGCATTTCCCTGGTCCTGGAATGTGAGTCACGGCCGGCAGAGCTGCGCAGCGGAATCTGGCTCCGACAGCTGGCACAGCTGTGCCCGGCTCCCGGCAGCTGCGGAATCGGGGGGGGGGGGGGGGGGGGGAGGGGGGTTCGGCCAGCGATTGCATCAGGGTGACGCCTGCTGCCAAAAGACAACTGCAGAATTCCTGAGCTGGGCACTCCCACCCCTCCCCCCGCTACTGCATTGCCCCACGGTCCTGGGATTGAGTGACAGCTCAAGGGCGGGAGAGCCAACATGGCCCACTGACTTAGGACTGGGGGGGATGTGTGGGGGGTGGGGATTGGAAGCTGCAGGGCTTTAAAGTATAAAGTGTCTGCTCATGGCCGCGGGAGATCCAATGACTGTATTTTAGCTTGGTGGCAGGGTATACAATAACTGGATGAAATCACAGCTATAATCCCCTGGGCAAATGTGACTTTCCCTGCAGCCACCGTGAGCTCCCCGCCCAGACCCATGGGCTGGGTCCCCATCCCCGAGGTTGTCAGGTGTGGGTACCCACCCCGCGTCCTGGAGCCCCTCAGTTCCCCACCAGGTAAATAAGTGTGCCTCTGGCAACCACGGGGAACACTGCTTACCCAAACAGCACAGACGCAGCCTGCAGCCTGCGTGGGGAGGCGGGAGGAAAGCTCTGGAGGCTGAGCTGTCAGACGCCCACGGGCAGAACCCAGGCAGTTTCTGAGGTCTAGGCAATGCATGTGACTCTGGCTGGGGCACCTGGAGCCAGCTCTGGACCCCAGGGGCACCCCTGGCAGGATTGCAGCCCTTCTTCCCTCTGAAACGGCTGCTCTCCCCGCCTCCTTGCTCCTCCTGCTATGAGATGCAGGGGCGGGTCACAGGGACCAACAGCCTGGAAGTGGGGGCCGGACCGCATGGCTGTGCAGCAGCCCCTGGGAGGTACTGAGGCCTGTGCTAGAGGCAAGCTGTTCCCTCCCCCAGAGGGCTGCCTACAAGCTCACCCCTTTCACCTGACGGAGCACCAGTCCCTGGGTCTCGGCAGAGCTGGATGGTGGTGGGTGATCACGGTGGAGACGCTGGGAGCGGTGGTAGTTGTGCTCAGCACGGCCAGGGGTGAACTTGGGGGGGGGGGGCGGGGGCGGGCGGTGAAGGATTAAAGAAGACACGAGAATACAGTTGGGACCAGATGGGATGCTGCTCTCGGATGGAGAGACAGTGCCACAGCCTGCAAGCCGAGTCTTTATTTTATAGCAGATTCCATGAGGCAAA